CTGTCGAAAATGTCCACTTTCTAGTCTCGGTTTCGTTAATTAACCCTTTGCACTCGAGTGACGACTTTGTGGCGTCGCTAAAAATTGTTATATTATTTTTCAAAATTATTCAGACAAGTCAAATTGCATTTCACTTGCCAATATGCTGAATTCCATGTGCATAAATCGTAACAAATTATATAAAATAGAAATACTGTAGATCAGAAATCACGTTTTGGATTTCGGATTCAAACTACTTCGACTGCAAAGGGTTAAATAACATTGATATTTTGCGAATTTGTCGAGTCGACATTCGGCACTGAACATGTTCAATATTAGTGACAAAGGAACAGAATTCGATTCCGACTTCACAATTCGATTCCAGCTAATCGCAAGAAATCTCTCGTTAAAATACAGCAATGAATTAAAAAGCACAAAAAAATGTCCATTTACGAAACGAAAAACGATCCGAACGGTGCCGATGCACACTGAAGTGCACCGCGGATTGCAAGCGGAACCTTTCAATCTCATATTTTCCCTACGACGAAGTTCCGGAAGCTCTGCCACATTCAGAAGCATTTACTTTTCGAGCAGGACGCGTTACGAGATCATCGTCATCGAACGTCAAACGCGCGTCATCAATGTTACGTTCGTACAAAAACGGAGAACTTGGAAGGGCTTGTTTTCCCTTGACGAAGTTCCGTTCGATCGCGCACAATGCCGAAAGCGAAATCCGCGTCCAGCAACGGACAGCCGAAAACACCGGCGCAGTTCGTCGAATCGAAACTCTTTTCGCACGAGTCCGCCGCGAGTTTGCAGCGGCGTGCCCGCCTTATCTACGATCCTCCAGTGTACACTGTTTCAAGTAGCTGAGTGCATTTTTAAGGATCACCCTATCTAGCGAACGGCTTCAAGCGCTTATCCGATTCGTCATAAAGAAAACTTTCCGAACTTGCGCGCGGAGCCTTCGAAAGACAACGCGCGGCCGCTAAATGATCGCGAAGCGACTCGTTCGATTGCTGTTTCTCTTTTCGTTTTAGATGCAAGAAACTCGTTTCGATGGAACAACTCGCGACAGTCGATAAGTTTATCGTTCTTCGTGATAGGCGCTAAATCGAGATGCCAATTTTCTTTACTTTTCCTTCAGCTTGTTAAGAAAAATGGAGAATTTGGGAAAAGCAGTCGTCTTATCATCGGTAAAAAATGCAACAGAGTTTATTTAGCTTAGTTTAGTTACTGCAATTTCCAGAGTCTTCTTCATAAGAAATGCCTAAATGCAAAAAAATACGTGCATAAACTTTTATCACGCAAAAGTTATTTCGCGTTGTATTATAACTTTTCACTTCGCTTTTATAATTATTGAGAATCGGCAAAAACGAGCCGCGAGGCTCGAACAATCGCATCTCCACTTCCCAAATTGAAGGAAAATTAAAATAAAAATTGACTGCGCCTAGAAACCAGCGATCCGACTTCGAAGCGATCCAAAATCTGTGCACCTTTCGCGAACTTTCAACCGCGAATCTCTCACAACAGCCGAAGAACCGAGTGAAGAAGAAGGCGAGCCTCTTCAGTTGACTCTTCGCGGTTCATTGGAACGCGATTCATAACAGTTACAATCGCCCCCCTATCCAAAACTTTCAGCGCGTGGCCAATTAGTCGGTCGCGGACAGAACTATTTTCGCGATACGATTAAATTTCGAATGCGACATGATTTCGCGCGCTCGTCTGCTCCGCGATCTAACCGCCTTCGCCTGCCCATTCGAAATGAAGTGTTATTTTAAGCAACAGCCCCGGCTGTATCTTGCGTTTCCGCGTAACAGAAATCTCGGTCCAATTAACGACGCTCGAAAAGCAGTTTTCTCGAGTCTCTTGGAGAATAAAAACGCGTCGCCATCGAGCACGAGTGAATAAAACGCGGACGGAGGAACGTTCTCTCGGTTATGCCACGAGCATCTTCGACGACGCTGCTCGTACGTTAACCCCGCGAAGGTCGCGGCCGAACTGACGGATACATGTGCAATCATTTTGCAAATATTTGCGAACATCGCGGGGCTCTTGCTTGCGAAGAACAGCGGGCACGTATGATACAGCAAGTCCCTGCACGATGCACCGGCGATCGCTAACAGAGAAGAAAAGCGTTTCCGTCGCGCGTCTTGGATCGATCGATCCGCGCGAAAGCGCGTTCGAAAAATTCGTTCAACGGAGTGCAACGGATCCGATCATTTTACGTCCGATCGTTTCATGTAATCTGCCCTCGTCACGCTGAATTCTCTCATCTGCGTTCGTATCGCGCTGGCAGCAACGCGGAAATATGTTCGCAACGCGTACATATTTCGCTGAAAAATTTCGCCAAAATGACTCGGGACACGCGACGCGTTCGGTCGAAACAGCTGTGCGCGCGCCGTTCGTTCGTCGAACAGTTCGCTAAACTTTTCTAGACTAAAAGGAACCAGAAGACTGTCCGTTTACTTCGATAGCTGTCTACGAACGAAGAGAATTCGAGAATGCCGCGGTAAAAGACGAGATATTGGATCGAACAGACCCGACATTCCGCGATCGCAGGAGCCTATAAACGAAGCGGAGATCAGTTTCGAGAAGCCACGATTTGCCTCCGATTTAACGGGAAGATCGCGGAACACATCCCGTCCATCCCTTTATCAGCAATCCGCGGGTCCGACGCAGATTTCCGTAAACGCGCGGCATCTCGGCGAACTTTCAGGACCTCGGCTCGGCTAACTTGGAACGTTACGACGTCCGCGCGAGCATTTCGTCGCCGCTTCCGCGGGCAACAAGGGGCGGCCGGCCAGGTGATCCGGCCTGCGACGATCGTCGGAAAGATCCGCGTCCGCTCGCGAACGCGCGCGCGTAAATCCGCGCGCCGCTCCGCGCCGTCGAGAGTCCCGCGTGTCCCTCGGATCGGAAAAATTCGCGGAACTTCCCGGAGCGCAATGAGCCGCGACAATTTCACGCGGCGCGATCGTTAAATGCCCAACGGTACGTGCGTATGTGCGTAGGGCGAGACGGATGACCGGAATAGAAGAGAGGAACGGCGAGGAGAGGGACCGCGAAGACGACGAAGACGGCGAGAGAGAGAGAGAGAGAGAGAGAGAGACGGAACCGCGGCGTAACGGTTCGCGAGGGTGGGCGGGGTGCAGCAGAGGGCGGGTGGAAGGGGTCCGGCAACAAGGACAGAGAGCGTGCGAGAGAGACAGAGAGCCAGGAAGAGAGAGCGAGAGAGAGAGAGAGAGAGAGAAAGATAGACGGTTCGGCCACGCGAGAAGGACGGAGCTAGAGCACGCGACCTTCGCGAAACGTCAAACGTCTATGCTGTTTAGCATGCAGGGCCGTATGACTGAAAGAGGTCTCTCTACACAGACTCCCGATCACCTGCCGGGACACGTTCGCTCGCCGTTCGACGGGGAATCGTTCGATTTAGCCGAGTTCCCGCGGGCCGCTCGCGGGCCGAGCCGAGTTTTCGAGGGAACCCCGCGGACAGGCCGCGGACCCTATCAGCCCCGACCGGACGGCTGGACGTGTCACGTGACCGGCGAAAACCCGGAACGATCTATTTCATCGAGCGGCAGCTCGAGGAACGCGGACGGATCCGGAGCTAGGCTGTCAATACGATCAGAAATTTCCGCGAAGAGGTTCGCCGGCGAAGAGTGGAAACGGCCGTGACAGCGTGTCTCCCCGCGAGCCAACCGTTCGATTTCCGCGGTTACGGCGCGGAATACGAACGCCGTCCCGTCGTTCCGCCGTTATATTCCCCCTTTCGCCGACCAACCGTGTCCCTCGAACGATTTCTTTCCCACC